GAGCTGACTTTCAGGGGGGTTGCAACCACCAGTGGAGCCTCAGGTGACTCGCTGACTGCAAACTTCTCATGCATGAAGCGACTATCCACAATGGAGTCATCCTTTAGAACGATCTTGTAGCAATAGCAGCTCTTCAGGCCTACCTGATTTCGATAACATTCGTGAGAACCATCCTTCACCTGTTGGAAATTCCATATCACGCTAAACTTGCCGACTGTTGCAACCAGATGGCGCTCCTGCTTCCCATCCTCAGTAACCTGAGCAGTTTTATAGATTCATCAGGATTAATACAATAAAATACTGTGAGAACCAAGCAAACCCTAAATAGTTAAAACAAAGCTTTGTTGCATTGAGTTCAATATCATAAGAACCCAAAAAGAACTAGATTTATTAGTATAGAGAAAGCTTTAAGGTATGAAACACGACAAAACACTAATGTTATGTACAGGGAAAGTAGAAAACGACAAAGTCGGAGAAAAAGATAGAAGTGAAATTGTTTCATGGTTTTTTTCATTTCAAATAAAAGCTAGGGAAAACATAACTACTGCAGAAAAAGTTGTGCTGTGCTTCCTGCAAACCTTCAAATTCATGGGTTACTATTTGACAACTACTGGATAAAAGGCACCTCATTAGCAAAATGTCTGCAATCATTGAGACACCATATTGCCTGTTGTTAGCATGTTTGTCTGGGAAAATAGTGTCCCTTTTCCTGCGTAATACCATCAAATTTCAAGTAAAATTTTATTTATCAACTACAAAAGGATTGCCCTAATCAGTTTTACCAGTAATTCTAGCAGACTGAACACAATGACTAAAAAATGATTAAATCAGAGAAGATAATCTTCCCTCAACAAGATGAATGACAAAACTTCTGTCACTAACAGTTCCCTTGGAAAACGCCATCACCCAATATTGCTCCCATCTGCCACTGATACAAGGTATTGAAAGGTTGTGCTACGTAAAAACTTAACCCTTGCCATTATTTGCACTAAATGGTCACTTATAAACTCCAACTTGGGATTTCAGACCAATTAACAGCTGTTGCATATGAGATCCTTTAAAAATTCTAAAAAAAACAGGAATAATGCAATACACAATTGTGATTCTCTCTTATAGGTAGGGAAAAACTTGCCAAATCACAAATATTTAGCCCTAGAAAGCATCCTTTAGTAAGTGCCCTATTAATGAAACATGGTAGCAGGTCTACAGCTGCTGCTTGTGGGACGATTAAATGAAGGCATTCCTTAGTCAAATGTTAGACAACTGCATAAATTTCACATTTCACAGAAGTCAATGGATGAGTAATAGTTTCGATGTAGAATTATTTTTGACAATCAAAATTACCAGGTACACTGCCTGACCACAGGTATTATACCGCAGTATGTTTTTGACCAGAAATAAAGGCAAACTCTACAACTGCAATGAGAAAAAAGGAGAGAAAATTTTTCTACATATCCAGATGGAAATGATTCTTAACTACTCAAAGTTAAATAAATTTCATATCCATTCATCAAAGCTTCCGAAGCTGCCAAACAGAAAATCTCCAAGGTATGGACTATCCAAATAAAGAACACTTTGAAAACCCTCATCTCATGTCACCTTGAATTCCAAGGACTACCAATGGCCATTTTTGACACAATCTAATGATAATTCTTCAATTTTTGAGCCTTAGTCCTACCACTCACAGACAACCATATCGTAGTGGGGCAAATCAACTCATGAGTGCAAGGTTATCCCACAAACAATCCTGGACACTTTCAATCATTGAGAATTCTGTCAAGTTATCATGGTCAATGAAGCGTCCGCAGCAATCCACAACTCTTACATATCATACACAAAATTCATAAAGATGCTTGCAATTTAACAATATCTCCAACCCAAAATTCAACAATAAGTCATATAAAGTAACATTTGTAGCAATCAAGAATATTCATTAACAAGGAATTCCGAATACAATCCAGAAATAAAGTGGCGTAGAAACTGTCAAAAATTAAGTGGTGTAGAAACAGATACATCCAGGAAACCAACAGGAGCATGAGAAAGGCACAAATTTATACATACCCATGAGAATTGAGCACCATGGAACTTATTATTCACTCCAGCCCTATGTGAATCCAAAGGAGTCAGCTTCAACAACCTCGGAGCAGCAATTCTATTCCCCATACGACCAGCAAAGCCAGTCTTTGTCTTCCCATCCTTGTCAGCAAACACAGTGCAGATAAGAATCAAATAGGTATCAGTTGTGCCCAATATCCACCTACCATCAAAGGTAACATCCACATGAGTAATAGGTGAACCAAGCCCCGGAAAAGCAGTTTTAGCCTGCCTCATAGAACTGCTCGAATACAACCGGATCTTTCCATCAAGTGACCCAACAACAATCGAGCCATCACCAGTGGTAGCAAAGCATTGAAAATTAGTCCCTCTTGAGAACTGATGCCCCTGAGTCCAATTCAAAACAGGAGTGCTAGCATCTGAAAGATTTTGAACCATCCCGTGCTTATCTCTCATATCCCACCTACACAACCTATTATCATCCAATCCCAAAAACGTTGAACCTGAAGGATCCATTTGAGCTCCTTTATTATCATTTGTTATATCCCTCATAGTAATATCAGTCCCGTCTTTCTCAAACTTCCATTCAGTAACAATCTTCCCCGTCTCAATATCAAGATGGTGAAGCCCCCTTGTATGTGGTTTCCCATCAGTCACAGGACTCATAAGTAACATATTAGTCTCTGCCCTCATAAGCAGAGCCTTCCTTGGAGCCGAATGCACCAAACTTTGCCTTCCCTTATCAAAATTTACATAAACGCCTTTTCCATGGATTCCATGACTAAAATTCTTCACAACCTGAATACCCGAATCGCCAACCAAGAAACTATTATCCAACGCACCTAAAGCCAGGCTCTGTATCGCCCCACCATTCGCGGCCTCCTCAAACTCCTCCCTCAAATCCTGACTCGCTCTCACGGGTGTGGCTGAATTAGGACTTTTCAATAAACCATCATCTGCGTCCTCCCACATAGAATCATCCGCCACCTCTGGCTTCGCCCACCCAATGAAATCCTTCCCATAAACCTTAACCTTATTATCATCATTAGATTCAAACCCATAAGTGTTCTCAAACAAACAATCCTGATATTTACCAACAAAATCTTTGTAATCTTCTTCACTAAAAAATTTCATAGCCCACACTCCACTGGACACAAAATCGACCCGTTTTTGATCTCCAAAAGACTTCAACTGCATTTGGGCGTCGACTATAACTCGAACTTTGGACCCAACTTTCAACACCCACCAAGAATTTTCCTCTTCTTCCTCATTTTCATCGTCTGAGGTGTCAATTTGTGAGGTTTTGATGAAGGAATAGGAGGTGAGCTTGTCGGAGACGATCCATTTAGACTTGGGTGTGTTGGCACCAACATAAAGATAAAGCTTCACAGCGTTTTTAGGAGATGGGTCGTGAGATGGATACTTGAGTTTCAGGGCTTTGAGCTTTTCCTCGACTTCATCTAAAGAAGACGGCGTTTTGGATCCTTTATGCCCAGAAGAAGACGGCGATTTGGCATCTTCGTAGTATTCTTCTTCTTCTTCTTCGGTTTCTTGATCTTGTGACTCTGATTCGGCGTCTGAGTCTGAGAGTTCAAGGTCCTCGCGGCTGTTGTTAGCACCCATTTTTGTGGGTTTTTTGTCAGCGTTGCTCAGATGGGAAATGGATTGAGGGTTTGTTGATCCGGAGGTTGGTGGTGTGGAGTTGAGTGAAGAGCGCGAGTTTGAAATTTTGAAATTTGATCTTTGAAGGTTCAGATTAGGGTTTTGAAAGGAAGACAAATTTGCACTTCACCGTCTACCGGCTCAACGGGTACAATGTTCTCCAATTACCGTCCCCTCTCTAATTTACGGAGCATTATCTAAATCGAGAGGAGGTTCAGCAGTTGCGTTTGTCTTTTAGTAGTTTAGAAATTTAAGATTCACTCACTTCCTATGTTAGTGATTGATTCGAAGACATGGATTTGACTATGATAACGGAAAAAAAAAAAAAAGAGGGTACCTCTATTTATCATATTTGTAATTATTTTTATTATATTTATAAATGTATGAAAAATATTCATAAATATAATAAAAACATTGTAATAATTTTTTTTGTATCAAAGACAATTGATAAAATAGTCACCAAAAATGTAGTAAAAATACCTACAATATTGGTAAAAATATTCACAAAAGTGGTAAAAAAAATTGTTGTAAAATAACCCATTAAAATTGTAAAAACACCCGTTGAAATGGTAAAAATTGGAGATATGGTACCAAATTTATTTTTTTGATACCGTAATCAAGTCGTAAAGACCTATTTTAACCCGACTCAAGTCATCATGACAGTTGTTAAATTTGATGGAGTAATAAGGACAAGTCTGATTATCCAATAAAAAATTTTAAAAAAAATGTTATTTTGGGAGTAATTTTTTCAATACCATACCATCATGTTATAAATTTTTTAAATTAAATTATAATTTTTTGGGTTAAGTTATAATTTTTTAGAGCGTTCAAGATAAGAAGTTGTAATTTAACTTCAAAATATTATAATTTGATCCCAAAAACTTTAACTTGACTCTAAAATATTATAATTTCTTTTATAACTAAACTCCTAAAAATTGTATATTCGCCTACAAAATAATAAATTTTAGACAATCCTGCACATACACGTTGAAGGAAAATCCGATTTACTGTAGTATGTGGTCCTTTTTATTATAATTTCAGTTGTAGTACTTCAATTTTTTATTTTTTTATTTTCCTGGAATAAATATTTAATTTTGAAAGTACAATACTAAAAGCTCGTTTAAAGCCAATCAGCTAAAATTTAGGCCAGTGAAGACCCCTGGCTAGCCCGTCTGGTAGGCAGGCTGTGGGCCTCGGTATTTTGTGGTGGGCTAGTTCGATCCCATCCCATTGATTGGTCAGGCCCGTTATACCCAACCAGAAGCAGACGCCCAATCTTCGGATTTCCTTTAGTGAGGTGCGTACGGCATGGATATTGGTCCAAAATGTTGATTGCATTACATATTAATGGTACTTTTATTTTTCTTGATAAAATGTTGTGCACATGGATAATGCTATAGGACCTTTATGTGCGTATGGTGCTGCTACATGAATGTTTTTAGGGCTCCTACAGTGAGGAATGATGGGTAATATTTCTTTAGGTGTTCAGTTGGTAGAGACCATAGACAGTGGAGAAATGATTCTTTCTGTGTGTAAGATAACATGTAGAAATGAGTCAATGTAAGATAGTGGTGGGCTTCTCTTATGCAGGAACAATGATGTGTATTATATCCCAACTTATATTATGTGTAAATAGACAATTCAAGCAATATCTCGTATTTTCATTATTTTTTGAGTTATTATTGTCCACATATTTTACTATTTTCTATTTATCTAAACTGTTTTTAGAATCATATAACCAAACAAATTTTACGATACAAAAAATACAGGACCTGTTTGGTTTGAGTTTCAAAAAATAGTATCCGAAAATAGTTTTTGAGAAGAGTTTTAAGAAAGTGGTTTTGATATTTTTTTAGATAAAAAACTTGTTTGGTTAGATAATTTCAAAAATAATTTTATAATACAGAAAATAGTAAAACATGTCTGAACTGCTTAAATATATATTTGAAAAGTAATTCAAACATTAATAAAAAAAATATAAAAAATTATTTTTATATTGACAATTTCATAATATATATATATACGAATATTTATAAATATACACGTATATATATAAATATATATACTTATATATATACATATTATAAATACGTGTATATATATATATATATATATAATGAAGTAACTTACAATTTAAAACTCAAAAGATAAACAAAATGACTTTTACTATTCGCGGTTGAGATCGTTTTAAATTTTATTTTAAAGTTAATCTAACGACTAATATTAACACCTTAAATTTAATAAGAAAAATAGGGGGTCTAAGGGTGTGTTTGAAATGACTTTTTAAAAGTACTTTTAAAAATTATTTTTCATAAATACTTTAAAAAAAAATAATATTTGAAATCGCTCTATCACTACCTTTACCACTACCGCCGCCACCACTGCCATCGTCATCACCACCATCATCATCGCCGCCATGGTCATTGCCACTTATCACAACCTTCACCGTCTCCTACCATCATTATTATCGCCCACGACCTCTCACCCCCACTATAAACTGATGCTTATATTCTTTTATCTCTTTTTTATGTTTGTGATTTAATTTTGGATATGAATACAAATATATTTATTATTTACTATTTTTTTATTACTCTGTGCCTTCAGGCATAGGTAATATATATATAAACATCCAAAATTGTTCTCTTTATTTCTAAAATTTTCAAAAAAAACTCTAAAAACAAGTTAAACTTGTGTTTCTGTTTGTTTGACTCAAATATAATTTTTTTCTCAAAATTTAGAGAACAAAAATGCTAAACAAATAGGTTTTTGGTGTTTTTAAAATTTTGAGAACAAAAAACTGTTTTACAGACGCAAAGCAAACATGGCCACACTTTTTTTAAAATTCTTCCCAAAAACATATTTTCAGATACAAAAACCCATCCTTTGTTTCTTTGTTACTTGGATCAACCCTCAAGAAAGGTAAAGAGAATGAATAATACTATTTGGATCTAAAAAATTGAACTAATTTGTTGACATAATGATATAACTTCATAGAAATCATTGGATGAACATCAAGTTCTAATATTTGATAAAGCCGACAGTCAATCCAAATGTCACTGTAAATTAGATCAACAAATTATATCAATAAATTAAGTCTCAATAACATTGCTAAAAGAAAATAATACAAGTTTCTACCATCTTTGCTAAGACAACATTTTATGCCAACTACATATGGAGGGTGGGAGGACATTTAAAAAACAATAACACAATTTAGTTCCTATTAATGGGAGTTTGGGAGGGTATTATATTCTACAAAATTGCTTGAACCTAATTTATTGATCTAATTATTCATAACAATTGAATTGATAATAAACTCCAATATTTGTTGAGACCCGTCACCAATCCAATGATGGTGATAAATCATATCAACAAATTAGGTCAAAAGTAACATTCGATATACATTTCATTATGACAAAAGTAATTACAGTGCACAATGGGATTTTCAGCCACATTATGACCACCTTGAACATTCAGCTTAGACTGTTTTTTTTCTCCCAAACAGCATAGGCTTCCCCCGAGGTAGAAACTTGAAAGTTTGGTGGAATAAGAGATCCAAGATCAAGCTTCGGCCCAATCTTGACAATTATTTTGTCATCAATCATTGCAACATAGAGATCAGACTCGGAAGCCATGATCTTCACTTTGCTTGTTGGAGAGATCCCATTCCTACTCCTGATTGCAGACAACTTAGAAATTTGATCTTTCAGCCCCCAATCAAAGAAGTGATCATAAAACTGCACAACAGAACAAGCAATTCCTCAGTCAACAAAACAACCCAAAAGCAAAATACGACGGTGCATAGTTTCAGTCAGCTCGAAAATAGAAACTTCTTTGCAAAATTTAGCAAATAGAGTAAAAGTTTGAAAATTTAGTTTCTGAAACCGTGGCTGAAATATATCGAAACATTCTAAAACAGTTCGAAACGTAAGAATTTCTATATCTAATCACCGGTTCATTTCGAAATTTTGATCCTTATGATAGTATTACTTCATCCTCAATGAATGGTAAGTGAACATAGAAGCTGAATAAGGTAGTAGAAATTACTATTGATGGAATCCCTGGATGGGTGAGAATATAAGCATATCCTTGCATGACTTTATCAGATGGGAAAGGCCAAGCCTTCTGAGTAGATCCTGTATCATGATTATCAATAAAAGTCACAGCATTTTGGGGCAAAACTCCTATCAGTCCTGGAGGGTTTCCATTTGAGTCCTTCATTCTCCAAAGCTCCCCCTGCACAGCAGCCTGAAGAATCCCTTTTGTAGTGAAATCAAAGGCTGTGACAACCCCACCCGCGTTTTGAACCCACTGAACCAGGCGATTACGATGCTGGTCCTGGTTATAATCGGGTTTTCCATCCTGCCCATAAGAGAGAGAATCCCAATACTCCCCAACTGCAAAGTTTGGTGTAGTGTTCTTCATGTATACCTTTGTGATACTTGGGGCATACCCCCTGACAAAATCGAATCGCCATCCATCGAATCCAATCTCAGTCTTTAGCCAATTCATCCAATCTGATAACTCTTTTTGCACCCTTGGATTGAGATGGTCAATATCAGGAGCAGGTTGAAAGTCGGCTCCAGAATCAAGATTCCCTTTGCCATCGGAATATTCAGTATCATCTTTGCAAATTAATGATGGTCCCCAATCAAGACGATTGTCGGCTGTTCCTCCCTCAAAGATGCACCATATTCCTCTCTCATCTTGCTTCTCAGCACATCTATGGTTTATTACTATATCGGCAACACATTTGATCCCTTTGCTGTGGAAAGCATTAACCAATGTCTTCAATTGCTGTTTATTTCCGTATTGTGATGCATCAAGATCATACAACCTTCCAGGCATATATCCTGAAAAGAGAGGAAGAATAACAATTATGCGATTTGATTATATATCCATCTTTATCATCATCTTCCAGTCTAAATGTTCCACCAAACATCAGTATGGACATTTTAGCCTCG